TCTGTGCACAATGTCCTCTACATTTCAAGGCAGCAATGAGATCCTGAATATGTCTCCAGCTTCCATCTCTGTCTTTCTTTCTCTCACCAATTAGAATGTATTTCCACACTCTCCCCCAAGGACTCTTCTGATCAGATTGCTCATACTTAAAGAAACCAGAAGAGTTTCTCCAACTCAAGGAATTTAAACTTAATAATTCCTGTGAAGCCCATGTTTCCATGGAAAGTAACATATCCACGGGTCCCCTGAATTAAAGCATGCACATCTTAGAGGGCACAATAGTCTACCTACCTTAGTCCTATATTTATTGCTACAACCTCTGTGCAACACACCAGCTACTTCTAATATTCCTCTTTTATATCTTTCTCCTTTTTCTTATTAAATTTAGCTCTTTAATTTTCTAGAATATTACAGATAAGTTATAATTTCTTCTGCTTATTCTTTGTTTCTAATCATTGCACTGAATGCAGACTATGTCCACTTAGGCATCTTTATTTGCCTTTTGTGTGTGATATAGCTAAGTTCTGAATATCAAAACTGGTACATTAGGGTGCTCCAAAAATGTTTATTTTAAAAATAAACTCCTGGATCAAGTAATTACCTTATGTTTAATTACCAAATGAATTTCCCAAAGCATCAATTCCATTTACAACTTTATCATCCTCCTTCTATTACGAAATGCAATTACTGCTTTATTTTTTTTCAGAAAAGAAAAATTGCTAAAATGAAGAGTAATAATAAAGTGTTAAATGTGTGTGAAATAACACAATTTAATGTGTGGGCAATGGATTTGTGTCAATATTTTCATGGAAATTGAGTCATGTTTAATAATCTGATATTTAAAAAGAACAAAAACAAAATAGTACCAGCTGGGCATGAGGTAATCCCAGTTACTCTCAAGGCTGATGCTGGAAAATTCCAAATTCAAGACGAACATGTTGAAATTATAAATGTTGTCTAAAGATTAAATTATAATAATAATAGGAAGAAGAAGAAGAAGAAGAAGAAGAAGAAGAAGAAGAAGAAGAAGAAGAAGAAGAAGAAGAGGAGGAGGAGGAGGAGGAGGAGGAGGAGGAGGAGGAGGAGGAGAAGGAGGAGGAGGAGGAGGAAGAAATTGGACATATAAAATGTGTTTCAGTCTCCTTGAAGAAAAATAAAACAATTTTATTCTTATAAAAAATAGATAATCATGTATTCCATGTAGTTTATATTAGTTGCAATCAATTTCTCAATATCTGAGGTTTCTTAATAACTTGTAGTGAAATTCTCAGCCACTGCCTGCATTTCGAAGTGCTCAAATATTCAGCACATCTGGATATTTGAGCTGATGGGTAAGAAATGACAATTTCAAATGTAAGCAACACTATGCAGTTATGTGTTAGGTGTTAACATTCCTTTTTGAGTTCAGAGGATATATTGCCAAAGCAAGTGGGAAAAAAGAGATTCTGTTCCGTGCAACTCTTTATTATTCATTCACTTCCTTCTCAAAAAGTGTATGCCAATTAGTTAAAAATGTCTTTGTATTTTTGTACTCCTAGTTACACAAATACTGTATTTCCTTATTTTTATATAATTTCTTAATCTTTTGTGTTTTAACCAATTACCATTCATCTTATGGTTGAATGAGGTATTTTGTTATTCCTATTTTTAGCTATTTTTCCATAATTGTTGATAAAAAACTTAAAATTATGTTTTATTTTTCTTCAAGGAGACTGATATGAATAAGTTACCAAAAGACTTATTATTTGATGCATTTCCTTCACATTGATTACTTAATGTTAATTGATTCTTCTTTTGTATGATTATACTTTAAAATATGACACATAGTAGAATGAGTTATGCATACCACATTTCAATGCCATGTATTTAAAATTTTCACATATTTTTTGCACGTTGTGTCATATGCATTCTTTTTTTTTTCATATGCATTCTTATACAGAAAGTATTGAAGATAATAACAGTAGCATTACTAATATGATGTTTTTGTCTTTGTTTCAGTCATTCACTGGAATACTGTAAATATTAGTTCCCTACTTATAGCAAGGTGTATTTGAATTGTGTGGTTCAGAATATCATAATTTTAACTTAGTGACCAGTTTTTGTAACATAGACATTACAACTTAGAGCAACTTTCCAAATTAATAGCTCTGCCACCATTTCCTTAACCTTTTAAAATTATCCTTCCCCAAGGAAGATAATATTATTTTAGTGAGAACATGTGCATTGAAGTGAAACCAATATATTTTTAGGTACTGATTCTACTGTGGTTCAGAGTGCATCAAAAATGTCCTAACATGAACTCATGTGAGTTGCATTAGCTTTAGAAGGACCATTTGTTAATACTTAACACTAAGAAAAAGGTGATTTATTAAGGTAATGCCAGAAATGTTTTAATTTTGTTTCACATGGGTGGATACATTTTTCTTTCTTTTTTTCTTCACCCCTTCTTCCTTTTATGTCCTCTAAAGAGCAGTTTATTAGCCCCACTTCACTCTGTAATCAGACACACAAGAATTATCTCTTCTTGCAGTAAGTCTAAATTTAGAACATCTGTCTTTTAACATGAAACTATAAGTTACTCTTCAAGACCTCAAGACTCTAAAACTACATCCCCACCACTGTGTTTTAAGATATATCCCCACCACTGTGTGTTAAGACTCTGCTACCACTCTCTGAATAATATTTCTAAACTGTTTACTAAAAGGAGTTTATTGTATATGAATAAGATCAACCTTATCTTCCAAATATTTTATCTTCTTTTATTATGGGTAGCTCTCAAATAATTTAGTAGCTAGTTAAACTTATATATATTTTTTTTTTACAAAATCAGTACCAAAACTGTATCAGGGTCATTTCTAATTTCCATGATCTAACCCCTTTCATCTGTTTCTCATTCCTGAACATACTCAAAGACTTCAGGTGTCTATTGTAGTTATCTATAGATTTGATTATTGGTATCCCCAGTTTTCTCTCCACCTCTCAAGTTTTCTACCATTACTTCTACTAATAAAAAATGTTCATTTCATTCATTTATTCTTTCATCATTTTTTGTCTTATAAAACTTAATACAAACATGGGCTCCTCCAAAGTCTTTGAAAACCTCTTATTAAACAAATAAGATGATATAACCAATCTTTCCCTTGGCTTCCACCTCTGTGGCAAAGCATATGCTCAAACAGAACTGAACATTTGAGAGAGGATGTGGTGAAGGAGTGGGAATCCTGAGAGTAGATCAATTTGCTGCTTCACATATGGTTATTATCAAAATTATATAAAATTTTAATCAATTGACTACATGCTAATGTAATGGTTTTCCATTAGTGTTACTTGAAAGCTGATAATTTCAAATTTCAATCATGTTAGTTAAAAGTTGAAAAAATTCACTAATAAAACAATCACATTACTTAAACTCTAAAACTAAGTAGTATTAAAAACTGACATAGTACTCAATATATATCTCTGTAATATTTTGTTGTAATTTTTCTAAAGTGATTCAATAATATGAATATTTCTAAATTAAACTTCACTGATCATATTACAGTCTATGTTCAAATTAGTCATAACTAATAAAAATTATGCTAGCTGGCTTACTAATTATGAAAATATTATTACTGTGTAACTTGTGGAGGGTGCAAGCCTGAAAACCCAGAAAGTCTGGAGACTGAGTCTGGAGGACTACAAGTTCCTAGCCAGTATCAGCATCTTAGCAAGATTCCTGTATCAAAAATAGAATATGAAGGCTCATAGGCATTTATGTTTCAATCCCCAATATTGAATAAAATAAAATGATTGATGATTTGTAATGAATTTTCTTTTGGCTGCTTTTTCTTTTACAAAACAAATAATTCTTTTCTTGAATTTTATTTTGTTTTTCTAAATATTCTCTATTTCAACTGACTTTTAAGAGTTCAGACCCTTTAAAATAACCTTGAAAATTTTCACTTCACTATGGCAAGAAAACTGAAGTGCTTTGTGAATAAGGCTATGTGTTTCAGAATTTCCAATGTCAGAAATGAACAAAAGGTGAGGACTTGAGGTTATGTGACCAGAGAATTTCATCTGAAGATAACTGCTCAGCTTTCTTGGGAGAAACAATTTTTCAAATATGTATTTGAAATTTCAGAAAATACTTCCACTATTCCTGGGTAGAAATATAGTACTGGCACTCCCAGAGGTATTTAACTGAATTTTGATGGTATAAGTTAAAATAGAGTTTTAAGCATGAGTGATATGCAACTCAAAAGCATTCATAGTTTTAAATAACAAAAAAGACTAATATTATCTTAATATATTGATTATCCTTATTAGAGAAGATCTCTTTACTAAAATTTCTACTTTAAAAATACCAAGTAAGGTATTTTTTTATCATTTTAATTCAGTAAGTGATATTTATCCATGTTTTTAAGTTAACTAAATTTAGGATATAGTTACTGGTTCTGTTTAAGACTACTAGCAACCTTTTGAGTTAAATGTTTGCAGTTCTTAAAGAAAAAAATTACTGCTCATATTTTTACATTCTAAATATAAATATTTACACTAGAAAATATTTCAAATTTGTTTCAACTTATAAAATTAAAGCTCTATGACAAATTATGGGCCTTTATTGTGAGAATTTTAATAATTGATTCAAATATCAATTCATTCCAAAAACAAAACAAAACAAAATCTGCTTTATTCTTACAAGTATACTAGGTGACAGAAATGTACTGAAAGTGTCTTTTCTCACCTTTATATTAGTAAAATGTTCAGTTAGTGAAAAAACAACATGGGTTATTCTTTTACTCAAACCAGTAAATGAATTGCTTAGAGAAATCATGATAATCATATGAGTACCAACTAGACAAAATATGCAAGAAAATGAAAAACAGCCATATGCAAGACACTGTAGAGAGAAAAAAAATCTTACAATATGTATCAAATTGTACATGGGAAATTTTCAAAGAAGGAGACCAAAGGTGGGAATGCAATTGCCTGCTAATTTGCCCATGTGTATTTTGCAGCTGCACTCCAATTCTGACAAAGGTGATGGGTCTGTCAAGTACATCCTTACTGGAGAAGGTGCTGGGACTATATTTATCATTGATGATACCACGGGGGATATCCACTCAACCAAAAGCCTAGACAGAGAGCAGAAGACACACTATGTGCTTCATGCCCAGGCTATTGACAGACGGACAAACAAGCCTCTGGAACCTGAATCTGAGTTCATCATCAAAGTGCAAGATATCAACGACAATGCTCCAAAGTTCACAGATGGACCTTACATTGTGACTGTGCCTGAAATGTCAGATATGGGTAAGGAAGACTATTTCTATACTTGAAGAGTTAATCCAAAAATCATCTACAAAAGTCCAGTATTTAATCTCTCTGTGTTTGTGCATGTGTGTTTGTGTGTATCTGTGAACGTAGAACTGTGGAAAAGTTTCAAAATGTTTGAATATTTTTTCTGTTGCATAAAATATTAAAGAATACTGAGTCAATCATATATTAATGAATTAATTTATGAGGATGTAAATATAAGCTACGGTTTGATCTCAAGGAAAAAGTCATAAATTGGTTAACAGCTACAATTCTTGCTTAACTTCTATGGTATTTTGGTTATGCAATTTTTTTCTAATATTAAGCATATACCAACAAATTCAGTACAACATTTTGATTAGAAAAAAGACCATGTTGTGTTTCAAATTCATGGTTTCATGTCTTTTAAGCTTAAGCTCATGAATAAATTATAATAGCATTAGTAGTAGAGGTAGTCACTACATTAATAAGTAAAAGTTTAAGAGATTCCTAAGCATCTACTTAACATATATTGCAAAATATACAACAATCCTATGAAAAATTTTGAATTTTTAAAATATGCAAACTGGGATAGATTACTTAAGTCACTTCCTCAAATTCAGATATCTAGGAAATAGCCAAGGAGTTATGAATTCCAGTTTTACCGAAAAGCAAAAACAGTATTGCAGATGGTGTATCATGATTCAGGTTTAGAGTCTCTGATTATCTGGAGCATTCCCATCACTCACAGCTTTTTGTGGTTTAGCCATTTTATTTTTACCTAATAGATGAGTTTTCTAAGGGTAATTAAAATAAATCAGCTATCATAGGGCTTGTGAGTCCTGCCTGACCTACATGAGTCCCTGGGTTAATCCATAGCACTGACAATAAAAGTGGCAGCATCAATAACAAAAACTTAACTAGAATAATAATTTCTCACTATCTTTGTAAGACTCTAAGCTTAGATTTAGAATGCATTTTTAATAAAAATTTTAGACATTTAATTTCAATTCACATATATGAACATTATTTTAAATTAAGGATTTTAAAGTCTCTAAATCACTCTATGAATTTGAATATTTACATGAAATTATGTAATGAAACTAAGACTTTCTTCCCTTCCCTACCTTTCAACCTCAGCCCAATTTTGTTCTTTCGAGAGTGCCAAGTATGTCCTGTAGCTGTTGGGGGAAGTCAAGAGAAGAGAGAGACTTCGGTCTTCATGTCAGCCAGAGCCTCAGGGGAGAAAGCAATTGCCAACATGGTTCCCCCTGGACCATAGTAGATAGAAAACAGGGATGAGACTCAGCAATCCTGGTGGAAAGTTTCCAAGGAGATTTGAGAGAGAGATTTAAAAGACTGAACACTACTCACCTAGTGAGTGAGAGTTTGTGTGGAAACCCAAGAACAGAATTTCCTGTGCCCTACCCATAGAGCTCTATGGTACAATGACTTAAGAATACCACTGGTAGGTTAATTCCAGGAGGTGGGTAAGACCTTAAAGAGCAAGGTAACCCTAGGTGGATGCACAAGAGAGAGCTAACAGAACATTCATTAAAGAAAGACTGTTTCAAAAGAAGAGTAAGTAATAAGAACACTACAGACATTTTAAGTACAATACAGTACATTTTAAGTACTTAACAATACAGATATTTTTTACCGCAAATCATGCATTCTTGTATTTTTTAAATTATTATCTCAGTGTTAAACATAATATTTTGTTTAGTTTGACATAATCATACAAGCATGAAAAATATTTTATTTCAATATAGTCCCCAGTATTTTAACTTTCCCTGTCTTCCTCTACCCCTTATTCCCTCGTTCCTTTATTCAACTCTTCATTCTTCTACTTATTTATAGTGTTTTTTAAATTATTGCATTAAAGATATACGTAAAGGTGAAATTTACTGTGGTATGTTCATATATGTACATAGGATAATTTGGTCAGTTCTATTCTGTGGTTCTTCTCTTTTTCTGACTCTCCACAAACCCTTCCTCTACTCTTCAGGGACCCTCACTGACCTGACACATGTGCATTCACGCGAGCGTGCACACAGACACACACACACACACACACACACACAGATTTCCCTTTATTTTGTTCCAGCTTCCAAATTCGAGAGAAAACATTTGATTCTTGATTTTCTCAGTCTAATTTGTTTCATTTAGCAGGAAATTCTTCAGTTCCACCCATTTACATACAAATACCATGATTGCATTCTTCTTTACAGCTAACTAAAACTCCATTGTGTACACATACCACATTTTTAAATCTATCCTTCCGTTGATAAATATCTGGTCTGGTTCTGTAATGTAGCTCTTGTGAATTGTACTGATTCAAAGCATCACTGTAGCTATATTTTAAATAAATAAATAATAAAACAACAACAACAAAAAAGTATATAAGCACTGAAAACATGAATGGTCACCAATTAGACCAAAATATCTTCTTGTTTTTTTTTTAATATATCACACCAAAAGAAGTAGCTAAAGAAGAATCAAAAAGCAAGATATTTTTTTAAAAAGATCCATATTTCTACTATGGAAAGCCCACAATTTTCAATTTGCAATTGTGGGAAGAAGAAGGAAGACTTAGAGTGTGTGTTTATTCAACCTATCATGTTAGCAGCACAGGTTCCCAGAAAACAAAGAACAGATGCATAATGCAGAAGAGGAAAATAAAATTTCATTTTGTGGTGCAAAATACTCTGATTTAGAAGTCAAATAGAATTTCTGAGTTCAAGGAAGGATATATAGAATAAGGATCAACTTTAGATAAACCTTGGCAAAGTTTCTAAAGACTAAAGATAAAGAGAAAACTCCATAGACTTTTGAAATTTTTGAAATTGTCATTTAAGAAAAAAACACATTCACATTATATATATTGTTTGAAATATTGGAATTTGGTAGATAATTGAATCTCATGTATAGTCTACAAAGGAAAAAATGAAAACTGAAATCCTTTGTTCATTCAAAATGTGATACATCAGTGAGGGGAAAAAAATCCTGGAAGGGGATCCTTGAAAGTTCAGTCATCCTTTCCCTGACAGAAAATCATAGAAGAGTTGGAAATGACAACAGTTGAAATGAATCAGAACATGGATTTAGAAGAAGACTAAAGTTATCTGCAGTGAGCCCTGAAATAGCTTTATAGTTATATAATCAAAACATTAAATGTAAAATGGCACTGTTAAGAATGCAAAAGTATACAATATTGTCTAACTAACAATCATGAAGCCTACAGGAATTATTGCAGCAAAGGCTGTGGATTTGGAGGAAAAAAATTCACAACATTTTAACATCTTCATTTAGTACTTGGGGAGGAAGGTGAGAATGGGGAACAGCTAATATACTTGGACAAGTATGGTTGAAGATGAGGAATTTAATACCTAAAAGCTGTAGAGAAAAAGGATAATACAAAATAAGTTTTAAATGTCCCCTACTGTGGTTCCAGGAAAAATTAAATTACTTGAGAAATTTTATGGCAAGTCCTAGACTGAATATTGGAAATTATTTTTCATTAGTATATTCTAGTGTGTGAACAGGCTTATTATTGAGGAAAATCAAACACATAAACATTATCATAACATATTATAATGAACTTTGTAATATGAAGTCTAGAAGGTTGTGTGCCAGTCAGTGGAGGAAGAATTTTACTTCATGTCACACGCTTCAGATTGAAAACTCTTATATTAACTGATTTTGGATATTGAAAGTGATTAATATTATAGAATTGGGATCAGCAATGGCAAGAGAGGGATACCTGGACTGCTGTCTGATTTTGTAAGGTTTTACTGAGGTGTAGCTTCACTTGTTTATTCCAGTGTTGCCTGTGGTAGTTGGGGTACTGCAGGGGCAGATCTGAAGAGCTTGGAGGAAGGAGGCCTTCAAGAAATATGTCTTACAAAGCCTGAAATATTCAGTACATTATTTTTGTAGGAAACAAATGCTTACCAGTTTCCTTGGTAAGAGATTGCAGGGCCAAGACACGAGGCAGGGGAACAGATAGAGGACAGTGTCATAATTCTGTCAGACAAGAGTCTGCTTGATGTAGGTGGGTCAGTGTTGGCCAGCTGTAGTTCCCAGGAAAGATATTGCTTTCCTGACAAATGGTACAGCTAGCACATGTATTTTACCAGTTACCATTCCCATTTCTTCCTGCCTGTAGTATGGTTATGTAGTATGGAAGCATAGCACCTAAATGAAATTCAGTAGGAAGCTTGTAAGAATAGTATAATACACTGGTAAAACAAGTCCAGATAAATAAATAAATTCCTGAAAATTAATACTGTCATAGGACTGAATCTTTGGTCTTCTACCAATCCTAAGACGTTTCTTAGAAGAAAAATATGTCTTTTTATTTTTTGGCTGGACTTTCAATACATACAGCTAAGTTGAATCTAAGTTCTAAGTTAGACACCCTAATGAAATAATTAAATTTAATACCGAATCCTAAAGAATAGTGAGGAAGTTTTCATCTTCAGATAAGAAATAGTGTCCTAATTTTCCCTTACATGCCTTGATTTGTTAATGATATAAGATCCTTGTTCCTGTTCCTTTCTGCTAACCCATCGTGAATTTATGAGGTCAAATGATTTTCCTCTGGCAACAATTTTCCCTTCTGCCTGATATGTGATTTCCAGCTGATCTCAGATGGCTATATCTTGCTTGCCATCTACTAAAAAATTAATTGTACACATATTAGCTATGATCAACGAATATAAGGTGATTAGGCATTTTGAATGTAGTCTGAGTTCTGCCAAATACCCAGAATTGATCACCACAAAGCTACCAGTAATTTTGCCAGTCTGTGACTACAAGTCACCATAGCAACTATCAGTATACTGACCACAGATACTACCAGGAACACTTGTTGAAAATTGCTCTGTGTCAGTCATTACATGCCACTTGCAATAAATTCATGCTCATGTAATCATCACCATTGTGATGTCAGCACTATTATATCTTCTTTTTACAAAGGATGAAACTGCAACATAGAATTAAGGAATTTTCCCCAA